GCTGCCTTCCCTCTAGTCTTACACTGCTAAATTAGGGACGGCTAGCGCAGATAGCCCTCGTGTAGCTTTGCGCGAAATTCAAAACAAACAAACAATAACTGCTACTGAATTAATTTTTTTTATATGTAAACCCTTGAACTTCAAAGCATGTCGATTGTGAAGTTTTAAATGACATTCAAAATACGCACATTAATGTGATATGAATATAAAATACATATAGAAATAAATGTATTTTTTAATCTATTAATAAATGTAATACTTACATGTTTATTTATCTCAGGAATTTTAATTTTACTTTTATTGTTTCGACCCCCAGTGGCACAGCGGTAAGTCTGCGGGCTTATATTAAACGCTAGAAACCGGGTTTCAATACCTGTGGTGGACACAGCTTAGATACCCAATTGTGTAGCTTTGTGCTTAACTACAAACAAAAAGATTTAAGTGTTTTGTGTTTTAAGTAATATTTGTCGATTTTTTTATAGTTGAAAAAGTGTTTTTCTTTTTATTAACTATACCTTTCACCATGTTCATAGGCTTAATTTCGTATTAATTATATCCTTCACCATGTTTATGGGCTTAATTTCGTATTAATTATATCCTTCTTCATGTTTATGGGCTTAATTTCGTATTAATTATATCCTTCTTCATGTTTATGGGCTTAATTTCGTATTAACTATACCCTTCACCATGCTTATGGGCTTAATTTCGTCAGAATTAGTGTCAGGCATTCTTTTTTTTGTGACTGTTTCGTAGAGGTCTGGGCATAGAGCCCAGAATACCATCCCATTCAAAAAACAAGGGAGAAGCAGTACATTAAAGTCTAACTCTACAACGTTTTACATGCTGCTTAAAATACTAATGAAGTACATTATGTATCAGTACATCTTTTTCCAAATTATTATTGGCATCTTAACTTATACATTTTTCTCCGTTAAAGATTGCCTTATAAAACAAAGCAAAAATAATAGTTAACGAAATAATTTACATCTTAATTTTTAACATGGAACGACTTAAAGGAACGAAAACAAAACACTGGTAAGTTGTGGTGATCAAATATAATGTGCTGTAACGATAATATCTAAACATCTTATTTATCAAAACTACCATGTGTTTTGCATGATACATACGTAATTGAAATCAGTACCAGTTTCTTTAACTTAATATATAAGGTTAGAATCACTTAAAATGTGAGAGTAAAACATTATTTCAATATATATTTGAGGTTTCTGCACGCAGGATATTAGAAACTTTCCACTGATGTTTTTATCATCCCCTCCAAAACATAGTAATGGTTGAGATAAGATTATTTCTGTCTTACAGTGTTAATAAATTTTGCCTTTATCCTCCAGTTGTTGTTTTTTGTTTTAACTTTTTTTTTTACTTGAAGGATGACGTCAGAAAACGTCAAGTCACTGAATTTCGAGAACCTTGAAAAAAACAATAAAGAAATTTCGGAAAGTTTAAGGTATGAAACTATATCCAAACTAAAACATGTAAAAAAAAAAGTAAAGTAGAAATAAATTTAGTAATGCCATGTGAAAAACAACTATAGGAAAACATGATAAAATGTGTAAATTATTCTTGTAGAAAAAAGTATACGTAAATTATTCTTGTGGAAAAAGCATGTATAAACCGTTCTTGTGGAAAAAAGCAGTGTAAATTATTCTTGTTAAAAAAGTATACGTAAATTAATTTTGTGGAAAAAAGCATGTGTAAATTATTCTTGTTGAAAAAGTATACGTAAAGTATTCTTGTGGAAATAAGCATGAGTAAATTATTCTTGTTGAAAAAGTATACGTAAATTATTTTTGTGGAAAAAAAGCATGTGTAAATTATTCTTGTTGAAAAAGTATACGTAAAGTATTCTTGTGGAAATAAGCATGAGTAAATTATTCTTGTTGAAAAGGTATACGTAAAGTATTCTTGTGGAAATAAGCATGAGTAAATTATTCTTGTTGAAAAGGTATACGTAAAGTATTCTTGTGGAAA